ATTCTGGAATCTGAATTTTTGAATTTCTGAATTTCTGAATTTTTGAATTTCTGAATTTCTGAATTTCTGAATTTCTGAATTTCTGAATTCCAGAATTTCTGAATTCTAGAATTATTGAATTTCTGAATTTCTGAATTTCAGATTTTCAGATTTTCAGAATTTCAGAATTTCAAGATTTCCAAATTTCCAAATTTCAGACTTTCAGAACTTTTGGATTTCAGAATTTCCGAAATTCTGGAATTTCTGAATTTCTGAATTTCTGAATTTCTAATTTTCTGAATTTCTGAATTTCTGAATTTCAGAATTTCTGAATTCTAGAATTATTTAATTTCTGAATTTCTGAATTTCAGATTTTCAGATTTTCAGAATTTCCGAATTTATAAATTTCTGTTTCTGAATTTTAGAATTTTTTGATGTTTAGAATTCTGAATTTCTCAATTTCTGAAATTCCAAATTTTCAGTTTTTTAAATTTGAAATTCTCGCCAATTTTCAGCATTTCTTTGAATTTCAGATTTCCATGAATTCTTAATTTTTTTCAGATATCTTCCAAACACCAAAAAAGACAAAAAGAACTGATGCATTTCAAAGCTCCAAGAAATTTTTGAAAAAAAGAAAAAATGGTCCAAACTTTCCGGATATGGCTTCTCATCGTTTTGGGGATTTTTAAGGTAAGTATTTTTTTTTGTATTTTTATAAGCGAGTTTTTGAAATCTAAAAATTGAAAAAAATTGAAAAATGAAAAAAAAAATCTGAATTTTTTAGTAAAAACTCTATTTTTGAGCTTCCAAAAAAGCCAGTTTAAACTTATTCAATTTGTCGGAAACTTTCAGACTATGCAAAAACAAAACTAGAGCCTCATTTTTGTAGTTGACAACTTTTCTCGAAAATTTCAGTCAAATGAGATATATCGTTTTGACACGGGGCGTATATCATTAGGCTTCAATCTAACTGTCTGCGTCTCTATCTCTTCAGGTATCGACTTTTCAAAATAGTTGTCAACTGAAAAATCAAGCCCTTTTTTGTTTTGTATTCTCTAGAATTTTCAGTCTAATCCAAACATTTTCAGACTTATTTTCAGCCAAAAAATCCAATCTTTCCAGACCCCAATTGTCAATTGTGAGTACAGTGAATTGATGAATCAAAAAATTGGAGTCCGAGTGGAAATGCTTAATTTAATCTACGAAAATGAGACCACTATCACATCGACAGGACATCCAAGATGTCGATTGACACTGCATAAGTCAGGCTGGGATCGGTATTCCTTTTTTTCTTTGGTTTCATTTTTTTTTAGAAATTTTAAGTTTTATTAGTTTTTTAGTTGCAATCCAAGTGCGCTTTATGCCACAATAACTACCGTATCTCATTCTGCTCCGGTCCTAATAACTTGAAACATTGATTTTCGAGACCAGCGTAAAAAGTCTATTAAAATGAGTCTTATAACCCCATATTTCTATAATAATTGAAAATTGGACAATTTTTGGTCTAACTTGGTGCATCGCCTGTTTATAACAACTACCGTATCTCAGCCAGTTTTGGTCCAAAAGTTTTGAGGTATAGATTTTCGGAATCAGTGTAAAAATTTTGTTTAAATGAATATAATAACCTCAAATTTAGATAGAAAATCAAAATTTGACCGCTTTTGGTTCCAGCTTGGTGCATTGACCGTATGCAAAAACTACCGTAATACATTCCATTTTGGTTCAATTTTCTTGATACATATATTTTCAAAATCAGCTTAAAAATTCAATTAACATAAATTTACCTATATTTCGACAGGAATCGAAATTTGACCATTTTTGGGTCCAACATGGTGCATCGTCCATATGCAACTACTACCGTATCTCAGCTAGTTTTTGTCTAAATGACTTCAAATATAGTTTTTTGAAATCTGCAAAAAATTCTAAGCAAAACTTGACTTGATCAGAACGACTTTTTGAATTATCAATAGAGCGCACTTGCAGTTTTCAGTTTCATCTCACTATCAGGATTAGTTCAAAAACAATTTTTTTTTGAAATTATATATTTTTCTCAAAATTTATTATTTCAGAGACACCTGTTCAAGTCCTCAATTCAAACTGAATGATACACTATCCTGGTCAACTAGAGTTTGTTATAAATGGGTTTGTGACACGAGTGAGTTTTTGAATTTTCTGAATTTTTAATGGCCTTAAAATTCCTAGGCCATGTCTTTGAAATTAGAAAATAACGGGTTGAAAACGGCTTAAAGGCGGCTCAAACTTTTTTGCAAGCATTTTGCGAATTTTTGAATTTTTCGAAATCACAAAAAAAAACTGAAATTCAGATTTTTTAGAAATTCCGAAAACCAGAAAAAAAAAGTTTTTTAAATTTCAGCAAAATACGCGATGCGAGTGGAAAGTTGTTGGATTGGGACACCGAAAATGCCAGTGTTTATAGTACGAGAAGACGGGTGTACAATTGAAAAAGCAATTTTGACATCTCCAGTTTATACCTCTTTTAATAGGGCAGCAGCCATCGGATGGATGGCTGTAAGGCAGAAAAGTAAGTTGATTTTGGAAAATCTTGTTTTTTGAAGTTTCAAAATTTTCAGTTCAAGATTTAGAGTTGAAAATTTCAGCATTTTCCGTTTTTCGAAAATGTTGCTGATTTTTTGATTTTTCGAAAATGTTTTCTGGAATTACCGAATTTTCAGATTTCGCTTGAAACTTGAATTTTCACAAAATTGCTAAATTTGTAAATTCAAAATATCGTAATTTTCCTAAAAAAAATTATCTTTCTGGAAAATCGAACAATCCAAATTTCCAGAATTTCAAAATTTGAAATTCCTGAAAAGTTACCAATATCTTTGAAAATTCTAAAATGTTACATTTTTCCAAAGTTCCAAAACTTATCAAACAATTTTTTTTCGAAAAAGTTCAAATCATCATTATCATTACTAATAACATTCATCAAATTCTCTATGTCGCGTGCCTTTTCCCCCATTCAAAGTTAACCGATTGAGCTGAAACCTGACAGATAGATCAGATGTGTGTCTTAGTTGATGCCCCAACTTTTCTTTTTTCGAAATTTTGATTCTGAAGTCTTTTGGAGACGTTCTTTGGTTTCACCACAGTAAAGAGTAGTGGGCAGAGAGGGCGAGGATGTCCCACACACGTAGGCCAGGAGGTTGAGCCCCGAAAGGACGTAGACCGACTAGTTTTACAAATTCTGAAAATTAATAATCTAAAATTCCAAAAAATAATTTCAGACATGAAATACATGCACGTCGGCTGCACCATTCGTCTCTGCCATCTCTGTGATCCAGCGTGTCAGGAGATTACGGTAGGTTATCAAAGCCGGCGGCCGACCACGGTGAACGCGGCTGGGTGAACAATGTGATAATTATCAGTAGAGCTTATTTGCAACTTTAAAAGTGATTCTGGAAAAATTCTAGATAATCTAGAAATGGAAAAACTGAGTCTTTAAAACATTTAATTTTTTCCGAACACCGTAAAATCTTCAGAAATTGAAAGCTTATAGATTTTAGTATTACATTATAGTATTACAGTAGTATTGTAGTATTACCGTAGTATTATAGTATTAAAGTATTATAGTATTGTACTATTACAGTACTATTATAGTATTAAAGCCTTATAGTATTGTAGTATTATAGTATTACCAGCCTGCTGGCTGCTGCGCCTTCGGCGCAATTCATTGTTCGTCGCTCCACTCCTCACTTTTCGATTTTTCTTTATCACACTGAACATCTACACCATCTCTCCCCTCTCCTGGTGTGGCCTTCATGGCGCAGCTGTGTGCGTGCGCATCCATTGAGCGGAAGGCCGCTGGTTCGGATTTGGTGCCGGACAACCTTTCATTTGAAAACCCAAAACCGGACAGACTGACACCGGGACCAACAGACGCGTCTAGCGTTTTATATATAAGGAAGATAGTGTTATAGTACACAGGTCCTGGGCGAGCATACGCATAATGGATGGGCGACGGAGGACGCGCCGATGAATTGGTACATGGAAAGGACGCCGGTATGGCGCATATACGGCGCATATGGNGCACACCGCCGCCGAAAACATCTCCTCGCTGACTTGCTGGCACTCGATGAAATGAATAAAACGTTGGGTGGGGCTGCTAAAAGTATCAGTTAAGTTCTATTGTGATGTGATTTTGTTCAGGTCATCCGATTTCGTACTTTTCCTTTATTATTCCATATTCTTTTATATTTTGAACGACATATTACTGATTTTTTGAAACTCAATGTTTTGGTTTTGAAAAAGACTTATGGCAGTTTCCATTTAAATTTGATATGCAATCAAAAACAGAACAAAATGGGAAAAAATTCGCTAAAAATTGTTTTTTTTTCATTTGTTCAAAAAATATGTCTCACTTTCACTTTTTTGAAATTGCATGAAAAATTGAAAATTTTTATAATTTAAACTTTGTAATTATTGTATACTTACCAACTTACCTTTTACTCCACCTGAAAATACGATTTTTACAATAATTACAAAGTGAAATCTACAAATCTCAATACCACCTATTTTGGCGAAAAACATAGCAATTAACGAGTGAAAGACATGTTTCTGCAAGAATTCAGCGATTTTTTATTCTGCCATAACTCTTTTTAACAAAAAACATCGAAGGAATAATCGAAAAACCAGAAATGTAGGCTCGAATTGACGAAAAATTGACAAAGTTGCCGGTGTGGATTTACGGTAAACAATGCGCGCATCCGGGATTTCGGAGTGTTGTAGTCGGCCTACCGTATCAGACCCATATCGCACACATCGCCCACCCACCTAGAATCTATCTAGGATACGCGCGCATTCGGAACACTCGATTCAACCTCTCCCGCATCGCACACATATGAGACTCATCGCAGCTCGTTGTTCGCGATATGTGTCAAACGGACTTCTAGAGGATCGCATATGGATCGGGTCCTTTATGCGCATCATCGCCCAGGACCTGTGGTATTATAGTATTACACTGAAACACAGTAATTTCATTTTGAAAATTCTCAAAAGTTTCCCAATTTTTTCTGAAATTCCAGCCGCCTCGAAGCTGTAACGACTCTCGTGCCAATGACTATGAAGCCATGTGGAATAGCTCCTCGAAAGTGAAAAATCTCTGTTTTCCTTCTCCATCGACAACCGAGAACTCATTGGAATCCAATTTTTCGCAAACATTTTCTGCTTTATCAAATTCAATGATTTTCAGCATTGTTTATTTGTTATCAGTTTGCTGAATTAGAATAAAACAATTTAAAATTAAACAATTTATTTCAAATTCAAAAGAATCAAAACATTAACAAATTCAAAAACAATTATTCGCTAAACAAAGCCGAAATAGTTTTCTTCCAGACTTTTGTCTCATCTCTAAATGAATCAAAAATATCTTCATCGAGTTTTCCATCAAAAATTACAAACTTCAAAAACATTTTGTCATTTCCCAGTTCGCTAGCATTACAATTAAATTGGATTAGAATATTCGAAACCCCGCCAATATCCAATGATCCCAATTGATTTGGGGTTTTTAGAAATGCGGGATTATTGAATCCAATATAAAAAGCAATTCGATGCTTGGAATTATTGAAAATTCGAAAGTCAAAGGTGCCCGTAAGTTGTTCTGGATTATTGAGATGTATTTCATCGTCTATTCCAATTTCGATGCCTTCGAATGGTGATGGTGGACGATCGTCTTCTGGAAAATTCTTGTTTTTTTATTGAATTTTTGGAAGTTCTTTAAAAAACGGATTTTTTGAAATTTTCAGTTTTTGGGGACTTTCTGGAAATTCTTAATTTCCAAACTTTTATATTTGAAATTTCTAATTTGTCTTCGAATTTTCTAGAATTCAATATACTGTAAAATCTGTATTAATATTGCGCCTCTATTTGAATTGTCCCTCTAATAGACTTGCACCCCTTGAGGGCACTTGAAAAATAGACTTGCGGCCTTTAATTGAATTGCCCCCGTAATACAATTGCATCTGCAGCAGTATTGCGGCTCCGCCGGGAGTACTGTACAATTTTTAGTCTGTGACACCGTGACGAACTATTGCACAGTTGTTTTTCGAAGGATTTCACAGGATGCGGATTAAAAAATGGAAAAAAAAGATGATGAGGCAATTCATTGTTTGAAGAAAGATGGAGAAATTCCAGAAGGCGTACAGTTATTGAAGATAAGACGAGCAGAACGAGAAATGGAAGAAATTCAGGAGATTTTGGGAAATATTGAAATTGAGGAAGACGAGGGAGAAGTGAACCATGCCGAAGAAGAAGAAGAAGAAGACAATAACTATGACAGTGACGCCTCGATTTTTTGATTTTTTAAAATATGTGATACTTTTTTTTGTTTTGTTCAATGTGTTTCTTTTTTTTGTTGATTTTCATAATAAAACTGTTTTTTTTTTCAAAATTTTAACCTCAAATTGTAGTTTGAAAAATATAATTGCAGCCTCTATTTGAATTGCCCCTCTAATAGAGTTGCACCCCTTGAGGTGAATTGAACAATAGACTTGCATGCAATATTAATACAGATTTTACGGTATTAGAATTTCTGGAATTTATGATTTTGCGGGATTTTGCAAAATTTAGGATTTCTCTTTGATTTTTTTCTGTAATTTCCAAATTTTGGATTTTTCAAGGCTTTTCTAATATTTATGAATTTATGATTTTTTTTTTTGGAATTTCAAATTGGATTTTTGGATTTTACGCTTTTCTAAAATCCTGGAATTTCATTATTTTTGAGTTTTAAGTTTTAAGGAATTTCTGAGTTTTTTTCTGGAATTTTCTGTTTTTTTTAAACATTATTTCAACAAAAAAATTACTGGAATTTTTGAATTTTTTTTAAATTTCAGTAATTTTGAAGGACCAAAAAGTTCGCTGAATCCAAAACAATTTGAAAAAGAGAAAAATTACCTTCGTTTTCAATTTCTTCCAATTCTTCTACATTTTCTGGCTCCTCTGGAATAGGATCACTCGGCTCTTGTTCCTCTGAAAAAACTTTTTTTTTCTTAATGCTCAAGAATTTCATATTTTCTGTAATTCCTTTTTTTTCAAATAATAATCATTACTCTGAATTTCAGACTTTCTCAGATAAAAGTAAAATTTTGAAATTCGAAAAATCCTGGAAAGCCTGTTTGCCTGGCCTGCGACTTAAACTTCCGGCTGGTGCGCCTACGGCGCGAGATAGTTATTTTAAATTCAATCACTAATTAATATCAATAGTTTTATATGGTAGATCAAATTCGGTCATGCGGATAAGAAGAAAAAGTAAAAAAAATAGTAAAAGGGACAATTATTTATTATAGGAATGAACTTTTCAAAAATCACCTGGATTCCCGAATTCTTCAACGTCTTCTGGCTTTTCTCGGGGTTCTTCTGGACAATTTTCTATCTTCCATTTAAGCCACCGATAGTGATCTTCCTCCCCTGAAAAAAATAAAATTTAATTTCGATCAAGTTTATCTAGGTTCCTCTAAAAGATACCAAAAATCAGTCAGCTGATAGAATGTGTCGAATTTTATGTCGAAACACCCAGGGTTAAAGTTCAAGGAGACCCACCATAAATTTCGCTCGATTCCATTTTAATCCTTGGCCGTTTTTGGAGTGGTTGGTCTTCTGGAGATTCTACTGTGATGTGACATTCCCGTTTTCGGGATCTGATTTTCGGCAAATTTTCATTTTGTTCATCTTGAGCACCTTGGCCATCTTGATCAGTGTCTGGGACCTCAATCCTATCTTGAGCATCCTGATTCTCCTGGCCTTCATCTTGCCCGTCATTTTTATCTAGACCATCCTGACCATCTTTATCGTCTTGCTCATCTGGACCGTCAGCTTGGCCATTTTGCCCACCAACTTGTCCCTCTTGAATCCCAATGGCTTGATTTCCATTAGCAACTTCAACTTTTTCCTGGATCCTTGAAGCCTCTACGACCAGACCATCTTGCCCATCAGCTTCCAAATCTTTTAGCATCCTTGAAGCTTCAGCATCTTCGACCAGGCCATCTCGCCCATCTTGATCATTAGCTTTCACATTTTCATGGATCCTTGAAGATTCGTGGCCAACATTCGGGTCTTCTTCGATTCCAGGAACTTCATCTTGACCATCCTGACCTCCAGCAGCTCTCTGGATCTGTTCTTGGTGGCTGACATAGTCTTGGTTGTCCTGTTCATCCATTTGATCATAGTCAATGCCATTCATTGAAAGATCATCATCAGCTTCTTGGGATCGATCAGCTCCAGAAGTTTTGGAAATTCGATGACTTGGACTTCCAGAAGCTTTTGGGATCTTCTCAGATGACCCCGCTTTGGAGATGTACTGTCCTGATGCCTCCAACCCTGTAAAACAGTTATATTGATGTCTCAAAAACTCAAAATCCACCCTACCTGGCTCTTCCACATCTCCCCAATCCGGTATTCCGGAACTTCCCACGCCTTCTTCAGACAATCCAGAAGTTCCCTGTCTCCGATGTTCTGCCTCGATTTCGTCCAAAAACCTCACCTTTTTAGATGGTTTTTCGGATTCTGGAAGTAGAACTAGTTTAATTTTTCTTCTGAAAAAAATTTCAGGCAAATCGCTCACTTTTATTTTCCAGTGCTTCTCCAGTCTCATTTTCACTAATCGATTTCATATTGGATAAATCATTTGGTCCCGTTGGCTCTGGCTCCGATTCCTCATCGCTAGAAGAATCAGAAGAGTCGGATTCTGAATCTTCATCACCAAATTCTTGACGATTATTGGCTGGAAAATTTGAAAAATAAATCAGAAAATTGATCAGAAAATTGAGCTACGCAGTCACAAGTGCTAACTACGACCGCTTAGCTTTTTTTTTTTAATTTTCAGAAACTGTTTATACTCATTTGGAAGCCCAGAACGCGGGAAATTCAAAAATCTAGTGTTCGTCAAAATTGGGCAAGAAATAAGCGAGTTACAGCTGATTTCTTGAAATTCGCAGTGGAGCGAACTTGCCGAACGATCGCTTAGCTCATTTTCAATTTTTTAGAAACTAAGCCATGTTTATACTCATTTTGAAGCTCAAAACGTGAGAAGTTCAAAAATCCAATTTTGATTCAGATTGAACAGAAACTAAGAGAGTTACATCCATTTTCCTGAGACTTGCAGTGGAGCGAACTTACCGAACGATCGATTAGCTCCTTTTTTAAACCTTTTAAGAAGCTGGGTCATGTTTATACTCATTTCAAAGCCCAGAACGCGGGAAATTCAAAAATGTAACTTTCGTTAAAAATGGACGAAAAATAAGCGAGTTACAGCTAATTTCCTTTAGTTAGATATTCCAATTTTTTTTCAAATTTGAGAAATTTTGAAACTCACCTTCATCCTCTTCAGAATCCGAAATAACAAACAGCGGAATTTTTGGAATCGGCTCTTCATCGTCGCTGTAACTTTCAGAACTATCTGATGATTCCAAATATCTTGGTTTTCGAATCTTCTGACTATTGTTAGCAGGAGGGACTGAAAAATAAAGAGACCTTTTTGTCTAAATTTTTTTTATTAAAGGCGCCAGCTGAGCTCCGCGTAGCTCAATTTCAAAAGTGAAAAGAAATAGGTCATGATTATATTTATTTTGAAGCCCAAAACGCTGAAAATTCAAAAATCTAAATTTCGTTAAAACTGGACAAAAACTGAGCAAGTTATGCCCAATTTTTTAGAAATTCGCAGTAGAGCGTACCAGCCAAAACTTGATCCAATTTTCAAGTTTGAGAGAAATGGTTCATGGTTATATGCATTTTAAAGCCCAAAACGCGGGAAATTCAAAAATCTAACTTTCGTCAAAATTGGGTAAGAAATAAGCGAGTTACAGCTAATTTCTTGAAATTCGCAGTGGAGCGCGTTTAAGCTAGGCGGGAAATTTAAAAAGTTCAAAAAATTCCATAAAAAAATCTTACCCTGATCGTCATCTGAATCATCTCCCCAATAAATTCCCTGATGATTCCCATTCGCTTGTGTTGGTACTAACGGTACATCAAAATCATCCATGAAATCTGAAAAAGCTTGATTTTTGAAAAATTTCAAATTTCAAAAAAATTACCATTATTACCTTGTTGCTCCTCAAATGCACCAAAATCGTCATCTTCAGAATCCTGCTCATCGTCGGCTTCTGAGATTTCCACGTCTTCTGAATTCTGTACTTCTTGTGGTGCTTCTAGATCTGATTGATCATCTTCAGAGTCTTCCGGATCTTGAATCTTCTGCTTCTTGTTTACAGGAGCAGCTGGAAAAATGGTTTGAAAATCACTTTAAAAAATGTTTTTCTTTGAAAATCTGAAAATCAATTTTAACATTTTTGAATTTGTCTGAAAATTTCAGATAATAACAAACAAAACTAGATCTTCATTTTTGTAGTTGACACTTTTTTCTGAAAATCAACATCTGAAGAGATAGAAACGCAGATAGTTAGAGTGTCAAACTGTCTCCGTCTCCTGAACTTCAAATGGTTATATCTCGGCTTCTAGTAAAGCTAGAAACGTGATTTTTGGCGCAATTTGCTTGGAATTCAAAAAGAATTTCAATTATTAACATTTTTCAACAAAAATCTATTTCTAGATGTTCTAGGAGCCGAGATATGACTATTCGAGGTTTAGGAGGCGCAGACATCGGGACACTTGTCTTCGTCTCTATCTCTTCAGTTGTCGATTTTCCGAAAAAAATGTCAACTACAAAAATGATGCTCTTGTTTTGTTTAGTATGTATCCCATTTTTCAAAAACTTCGGACACGTACTAACCACTCATTTTCAGCCTAAACTGAAACTTATTCGAAAAAAAATTTTTTCGCAATTTTTTTCTCAAAAATCTGATAATCAATTTTATCTTTATTCGATTTGTATGAAAATTTCAAAACATACTAAACAAAACTAGAGCTTCATTTTTGTAGTTGACACTTTTTCCTGAAAACCAACACCTGGAGAGATAGAGACGCAGACAATTATAGTGTCTCGCTGTCTGTGTCTCTTTATCTTCAAATAGCCATATCTCGGCTGGTAGTACAGCTAGGAAAGTGTTTTTTGGCGCAATTTGCTTGGAATTCAAAAATGATTTTAATTTTTAACACTTTGCAACAAAAAATCACTTTTCTAGATGTTCTAGGAGCCAAGATATGGCTCTTCAAAGTTTTGAAGGCGCAGACAGCGAGACACTCTAACTCTCTGCGGGTCTATCTCTTCAGGATTTCTCGATTTTTAAGAAAAGTTGTCAACTACAAAAATAAAGCTCTGGTTTTGTTTTGTGTCATTTACAATTTTCAGACAAAACGGACAAGAACTAATTACTCATTTGGGCCCTTAAAGTTGGAACTCATCTTAAGAAACAATCTGGAATTCTGTTTTGGAAAACCTGAAAATTTTTCTGTAGGCGCATAACTGATAATCTCACCTTTGATTATTCCATTTCTCCTTTTCTTCAGTCATCAGGTCCTAGATTGAATTACAGAACCTTCTTCCACCTCTTCTTCGATTGCTCTTTCAGGCGCTGAAAAGATCAAAAATCTTCCAAAATTTTGCGAGATTCCCACAAACCTTCCGTATTATTCTTCATTCCCAATGTGATACATTTTCTCAGTTTACATTTTCGACATTTCGAAATGTCTTGGCATTTTGACTTACAGAATTTCAGTAGCTTCTTATTGCGGAAAGACCTAAAATTTTATTCTCATCATAAATTTAAGTTTAACCTTAATTATCTCGGCTACTTTGAAAGCTATTTAAATTTTAAAAACAAATAAAATGTGTAAAATTTAATTTTAAACATTTTACTAGTTGACAACTTTTTGATATCTTTCACAGGAACCATGATATTCAAAAATTTTAAAACTAACCCTCTGAAGATGTCGAAACATTTCTGGCATGTGATGACGCCCTGATGGAGGCCAACTTTGCGCTTTTCCAGACAGACCATACATCCGAGAGACACTGAAAAAAATAAAGTTTTATTTTTGTTCAGCATATCCTAAGAATTTCAGAACGATTTTAAAAAATTAAGCTTGAATTGTACTCACATTCCTCTTTTTTCTCCTCAATCGCTTGGAATTTTGTCCATATGCATCGATAGCAATCACGAATGGCTAACGCATCCAAGACGCATTTTCCTTTATTGGCACATTTTTCGAAGTCGCTTTCTTTTTTCTTTATATTTATGTGGTATCTGAAAAAAATTGAAAAATTAACTGATAGTGAGCTCATCCTATTCTTGCACTTTGACCCCAATTATCTCGGTTCATACATTAGATATCAAACATTTGTCAACTAAAAAATTATTTTGAAATTTCACAAATTTTATCAGTGTACACATTTTAGATACCTTTCATTGCAATTGAGATAATTGAGATCAAAGATGCACTAAGAACATCTAACTTTGACCTCAATTATCTCGGCTCCTATTAGAGATACAAAAGATGTGTCAACTGATAAAATGTGTAAAATTTTATGATAAACATTTTATCAGTTGACAAATTTTTGACATCTGTAATAGGAATTGAGATATATCGAGTTGTATGAAGTCACCGCTCAAGCGTCCCACCTCAATGGGCGCAGGGGGACGCCGAGAAGCTTGGGCGGCGGACCGCCGGCGGCTCCTCATAGCTGTCTAACACTCTTGCACTTTGACCCAAATTATCTCGGCTCCTATTAAAGATTCAAAAGATGTGTCAACTGATGAAATGTGTCAAATTTCATGGTGAACATTTTATTATTTTGCAATTTGTTGATATCTATAATAGGAATTGAGATATATCGAGTTGTGTGACGTCGCCGCTCAAGCTTCCCACCTCAATGGGCGCAGGGGACGAGCCGCTTTTGACTTAACTTATCTCGGTTCCTACTAAAGGTATCAAAATTTGATCAATTGATAAAATGTGTAAAATTTTGTGATAAACATTTTATCAATTAACAAATTTTTGATATCTCTCATAGGAACCGAGATAATTAGGGATAATTAACACTCACCTATAGAAATTTGAACAAGAACGACACAAGGCATAACCAAATTTGACATGTGGGCTCGGTTTGGTGCAAATAAGGCATTTCATTAATTGTTCAACTTTTTGATCAACCGGAAGATGGTCAACATCTGGGAGACTGATTTCCAGTTTTTGTGTATTTTTACAGGTTTTCTCTGCACCTTTGGTCATCTTTTTCTTCTCCCTCTTGCTCTGCGAGCCCACAGTTTTCGATTGATTCCCAGAATCTTCTTCCGGCTCTAAAAAAATAGCTCATTCTCCAAAACTTTCAAGAAATTCCTCACTTTTCATTCCCAATTCCAAACATCTTGCCAATTTGCATTTTTTGCATTTCGAAGTTGATTTGCATTTTGGCTGACAACACTTCAGTAGCTTCTTATTGCTGTGCTGCCTATAATTTCAAAAAAGTTTCAGTTTAACCTTAATTATCTCGGCTCCCTTAGAAGCTATCTAACTTTTGTTAACTAATAAAATGTGTAAAATTTTATTTCAAACATTTTAGTAGTTGACAGCTTTTTGATATCTTTTAAAGGAACCGAGATATTTGAGAATTTTAAAAACTGACAGTCTGAAGAAGCCGTAGCATTTCATGCATGTGATGACGCCACGATGAAGACCGACATTGTGCGTTTCAAGAAGACAGACCATGCATTTGAGAGACACTAGAAGAATTGAAATTTTTAAAAATTGACACATTTCAAACCATAAAATCACTTTTATAGCTTTACTAGGAGCCAAGGTCTAGGTACTTGAAATTTGAAAAAAATTAAAGTCATTTTTTTTTGAAACTTTAAAAAATCAGATTCAGCTTTTTTTGAATTATCTGAAAACTTCAGAACATACTAAACAAATCTAGAGCTTCATTTTTGTAGTTGACACTTTTTTCGAAAAATCGATACTTGAAGAGATAGAGACGCAGACAGTTAGAGTGTATTGCTTAAACTTCAAATAGCCATATCTTGGCTCCTAGAATAGATAGAAAAGTGGTTTTTAGTGCAAAATGTTTTAAATTTAAATTGTTTTGAATTTAAAGCATTTTGAGCTATAAACTATCTTTCTAGCTTTACTATGAGCCAATATATGACTTTCTAAAGCTTAGGATGCGCAGACAGTGAGACACTCTAACTGTCGGTGTCTCTATCTCTTCAGGTGTTGATTTTCAGTAAAAGTTGTTAACTACAAAAATGAAGCTCTGTTTTTGTTTGACATATTCTGAAAATTTCGAACCCATTGCTCAGCTTTAAGATTGAATTGTACTCACATTCTTCTTTTTTCTCCTCAATCGCTTGGAATTTTGTCCATATGCATCGATAGCAATCGCGTATGGCCAAAGGATCCAAGACGCATTTTCCTTTATTGGCACATTTTTCGAAGTCGCTTTCTTTTTTCTTTACATTTATGTGGTATCTGAAAAAAATTGAACAATTAACTGAGCTCATCCTATTTTTGCACTTTAACCCTAATTACAGTACCGGACAAGAAGAAATCAACTTTTAGTTTTACGAGGGTATCTCGAAAACTATGAGAGCTAGGACTCTGAAATTTTGTACGTATGAGAATCATATGAGACCATACGTCCTTGCATGTTAGGAATTGGTTCAATCGGCGTCATGTGAACGTTCTGCCTTGGCCAAGCCAAAGTCCCGACTTGAATATTATCGAACCACTCTGGGAGGAGCTGGAGAGACGCCTCAAAGGAAAATTTGCCTCCAACTCGGACCAGAAATTCGTTCAACTTCAAGATGCTTGGTCGCAGATCCCACAGTCGACAATTGATGCTCTGATTGATAGCATGCCTCGACGCTGCCAGGCCGTGATTGACAACAAAGGATACCCAACCAAGTATTAAACTATTTTCATTTTCTTCCCGCTTTATTTTTAAGTGATTTTTGTTTTTTTGTAATGTTTAATGAAACTGTTGCCTGTTAAGCGAAATTCCATTTTTCTCAATTTTTGTAATTACGCGTCTGATATGGTGTCTGCGGACTTGATATTTTTTCGGAATATTTCTGAGCCTTTCAAAAACATACGTACAAAATTTCAGAGTCCTAGCTCTCATAGTTTTCGAGATACCCTCGTAAAACTAAAAGTTGATTTCTTTTTGTCCGGTACTGTATCTCGGCTCCTTTCAAAGATATCAAAGTTTGGTCAAATGACAAAATGTGTAAAATTTCATGATAAACATTTTATCAGTTGACAAATTTGTGACATCTGTAATAGGAATTGAGATATATCTAGTTTTATGAATCCGCCGCTCAAGCATCCCACCTCAATGGGCGCAGGGCGCGGACCGCCGGCGGCTCCTCATAGCTGTCGTCTTTGACTTAACCTATCTCGGTTTTTATCAAAGATATCAAAATTTTATCAATTGATAAAATGTGTAAAATTTTGTGATAAACATTTTATCAGTTAACAAAGTTTTGATACCTCTGAGAAGAACTGAGATAATTAGGGTTAACTAACACTAACCGATAGAAATTAGCGCAAGAACCACACAATGCATAACCAAACTTGATTCGTTTGCTCGGTTGGGTACAAACAATGCATTTCAGTAACTCTTCGATTTTTTGAGCAACCGGAAGATGAGCAACTTTTGGAGGGCAAATTTCCAATTTTTGGGCAGTTTTACAGCTTTTCTTTGACATTTTTTTTTCTGAAAAAAAAAGTTAACTTTCAAGAGAAAACCGGGGTTTTTAAAGTATACGTTATACGGTAGCAAGCATTGGCTATCATTGGGTGTGGTACGATAGAAAAATAAATGAGCAAACACTAATTACTGTGCTACGGAAAACTGCATTCTCAAAAAAAAAATTCAAAAACTAAAAAATAGGATATTTTGTTCTTCTGAAAAATGCTCAGTTTCCAACCAAATTTCTTAATTTTTGTCTTAAAATTAAGCTGAAATTCTGCTCTTTCCATTCCAACAATTTTCAATTCAGTTTACTCTATTTTCCCCAGCGAAAAATCATCTAGAAGACGTCCCCCTTTTTTCACCTTCCTCTTGTCCGAGAGGAGTACAAAACGAGGTGCTTTATTTTTTGTTTTATATAACTTTTTATAAGGTTTAAAGTGAAAAAACTTGGAAAATCTGTTAAAACTTAACATTTTATTTGAATTCAGCATGTTTTAATCTATTTTTTGGTAAAATTTTTAGGGAAAAAAGGCGGGAAATTTGAATTTCAGTGATTTAAACAAGAAATTTAAAAAATCAGGAAAATTGAATTTTTGTGGGAAAAATATTTGAAAATTAAAGAAAACCCGAGAAATTCGAATAAGTGTGTAATCAAAAAAGTCTTATAAGGTAAGCAAAAAAGAGTTAAACAAACAAGAATACAAGGAGAACAGGGACGTTTATGTTTCGTTATGACGCAGGCGAGACACAATAAAGGAGAAAGAGACGCAGACAGTGTAACAGAGACATGTAGCAGATAACGTTAAGAAGGCGGGCGGAAGACGGACGGCACGAACGGCACGGCGGTGTAATATCCTGTGGGAAGAAGCGTGTGCTATTCGACGAGCCTTGGTGATTGACCCCAAAGAACTGTGGGATTAGAGGTGTGAATTCTGGCAAGTTGGCTCCATGCAAAGTTCAGAAATTCAGTTGTAATTTGCTTGGTTTTTCTCCAACTCTGACGAAAACTAGATTTTTGAATTGTAGGCGTTTCCGGCTTCAAAATGAGTATAAACATGACCTATTTCTTTTGAAATTTTAAAATGAGCCATAGCTAGCTCAGGTGGCGTAGCTTACTATTAGTTGGTTGCGGCTATAAAAGAACCTAAAAAGTATAAAATCGACTGATAAAAGTCGCGAAATACAAAATATTCAATTTTAAAAACAAAATTCAGAAAAATTAGTTAGAAAAATATAAAATATTTATTGAGGTAGTGAAAATGAGGCAGTACAAAATCATGTACCATCTTTGGCCTAAAATATTTGATTGGTATCAAAATTTTGTTAACTGATAAAATGTGTGACATTTAATGATAAACATTTTGTTAGTTTACAAAATTTTTATACCTTTTATAGGAACTCAGATAATCTGGGTCAAAGTTAACAATTAAGAACATCTATCAACATTAAGTCTGCCTCTTTTGATCTCAATCATCTCGATCCATCTAAAAGATATCAAGAAGTTGTCAACTGATAGAATGTGTGAAATTTTATGATAAACATTTTACCAGTTTACAGATATTTGATTTCTCATATGAGAACTGAGATAATTAAACTCAAAGTTGACAATGAGCGATAGTCATCGTCATGACTAGACATCCACTTTGACTTTGATTATCTCGGTTTATTGAATTGATATCTGAAAATTGTTAACTAATAAAATGTTTATCATTATATTTCACACATTTTATTAGTTGACAAATTTTTGATACCTATTATAGCCGCTGAGATAATAAAGCTCAAAGTGAAAGTAGCGTACTATTAGGACCAAAATTTGCGATCATAAAAAATGGGGATTCTTCTGGTCCAGCATTTTTCAGAGTTTTCAAATTTCAAAACCAGTTCATCGTGGACTGGAGCATTGGATTCAAATTTGCAGACAATTGGTACAGTTGCCAAATTTCCAGCATCCATGATGCCATCAGAATTTTCCACGACTTCTAGAAATGGATTTTTTAATTCCGCGGAATATTTGATTGGCCTATTTGAAGTATTTTGGATTCGGAAATTTATGAAATTCGTGCACCCTTTTGATCTTGTGACTGCGATGAATTGGCCGGGGAATGTTTTGATTTCGTCGGATCCTAGAAAATGGAAAATTTCAGATTTTTGAAATTTTCAAAAATAAATTACCTGGATCCACTTGATTCTTCAAAAACTTCTTTTTCCACTTTTCAAGTTTCAGTTTTCTGGTTGGACCATTTTTCGGTTCTGAAATTGAGGTTTGCAAAATTTTTTTTTTGGAAAAAAAAATCCAAAAAAAGTTTTTTTTTGAAAATCTGAAAATCAACATTTTAACATTTTTGAATTTGTCTGAAAATTTCAGATAATACCAAACAAAATTAGAGTTTCATTTTTGTAGTTGACACTTTTTCCTGAAAATCAATACCTAAAGAGATAGAGACGCAGACAGTTAGGGTGTCTCGCTGTCTGCGCCTCTGAACTTTAAACCGACATATCTTGGCTCCTAGAATGGCTAGAAGCTGGGGTTTTAGCTCAAAGTGTTCCAAAATTTGCTATTTCTTAAATTTTCAGCATATTGCGCTGAAAATCACTTCTGTAGCTGTACTAGGACCCAAGATATGGCTGTATGAAGGTACCTAGACCTCCGAAACTTGAAATAGCCGTATTTTGGCTCCTAAAACAGCTAGAAAATTAGTTTTTAAACAAAAATTAAATTGAGTTTTCTGCTCAAAGTGTTTCAAAATTTGCTGTTTCTTGAATTTCCAGCATTTTGCGCTAAAAATCACTTCTCTAGCTATTCTAGAAGCCAAGATACGTCTATTTGAAGTTTAGGAGGCTCATATTTTGAGACACTCTAACTGTCTGCGTCTCTATCTCTTCAGGTATTGATTTTCAGAGAAAAATGTCAACTACAAAAATGAAACTCCACTTTTGTTTAGTGTAATCTGAAATTTTCAGATAAATCGAAAAAAGTTGAAATCGATTTCCAGAATTTCAAAAAAAGTATATGTCTCTAGCTACCTGGCGCCTGAATCTCCGGCTGTGCTCCAGAATCTTCTTGATCAGAATCCTTATTTTCAGTCTTCTCCTCATCTGAACCTCCTCTTCCAGAAGAGTACCATCCAGTGCCTGGAAAACTACAGTATTTTCCTACTGTAACTGTATAGCTCACCCATTTGTTCCGCAATAATTTTGGCTTGAGTGAAAAAGTGCTCCAAAGTTAGTGGCTGATATTTTGCTTGGGGATTTTTACGAATATATTCAAGCCACTCTTTTTCTTCTGGACATTCGTCATTATCATAAACTTCATCATTTGGACCATTTGAGCTGGTTGGGTTCTCTGAATTCATGTTCCTGGAAAAAAAGCCTAATTCCAGAAAAATCCATATTTCTCCAGGAATTTCCAACCAAAATTTTTGATTTTAGTTTTAAAATGAAGCTGAAAATCTATTCTATTGATTTTAATTTACAAATTAAAAAAAACCATCGAATTTCGATAATTTAAGGATGTTTTAATACACTATTCCCTGTTTGACCTAGTCGTCTTGTCCGAGAGGACTACACAAAAAATATATTGAAATCATGCTCAAAAAAGCCTAACTAACGGTCGAATTTGAATTTTTGTTAAAAACTTGATTTAAATAAAGTTCTTAAAGGAGGCGAGACAGCAAAAGTTTCGGGGACAGTTCGGGGGACGAAATCGCACCGCGCTTATGTAGACCATCGGTCGTCAGGCGCCTTCGCGCCCCCGTAGCTCAGCCGGTAGCGGCGCTGTACCCCTGAGCTGCCTGTCATGAGTTCAACCCCTCATGGGGGTTCTCTATGCAAAATATCAGGAAAACTTTTTTTTTGGTGCCTGGCCTCCTTTAAGGCTATAAAGCACTTTAGAAGTAAGTTCCATATTACTCTCGTCCGAAATCAATGCACGTTGCGGCCGAAAATTTACTCAAAATCGCATCTTCGGTCGCACAGCGAAAACAACAAATGGATGCATGCGCCTTTAAATACCGTACCTCGGACGTTTTTTCATTTTGGGCCCTATTTGGCTGTTTTTTCTATTTTTAAAGAAAAATAAATTAAAGATTTATAAGAATTACACAAAATTAGACAGAAACAAGCGAAAAAATGAGAGAAAAAGACAAAAATTCGATAAATGTTGAGGTACTGTACTAAAGGCGCGTGCAATAATTTGAAAAATACAGTAAGGTTCTCTATGTGGGAGCTAAGCTCCTCCCACCGTTGTTTTCTCGGCCGCAACGTGCATTGATTTCGGACAAGAGTAATACTTGAAAACTTCAAAAAATCTGTTTTTCTGAAAAAATAAAGCCTAATTTCAGAAAAATCCATTTTTCTCCAGGAATTTCCAACCAAATTTTTTTGATTCTAGTCTTAAAATGAAGCTCAAATTCTATTCTTTCACTTTTCATTAAAAACTATATGAAAAAACTTTAGAATTCGATAATTTGAGACGATTTTAACACACTATTCCCTGTTTGACCTAGTCGTCTTGTCCGAGAGGACTACACAAAAATAGACTATGGAAAACAAGCTTAATTAAGCATAACGGTCGGTTAAATTTGAGTTTTTTGTAAAAATTTCAATTTTCAAGGAATGTAGAAGATTATAAACCAGTTTGAATGAAAACGGGCTAATTAAAATTTGCAAAAAACCGATTTTCCAGACAAAAAATTCTGAAAATCGATATTTCGACCACATCGATCTTATGAGATGCTAAATAATTGTTGAAGTTTTTAAAACTAGGCTTGAAATGATAAAAAAGACAAAAACAACTTTTCCGTCCAGTTTTTTCGCGTTTTCGCCTCTATTTTCTGCAAAGTAGAGCGAGAGAGCGCGGGAAGAGAAGAGACGCAGGCGTGTAGAGGGAAATGTGGAGCGTTAAAACGGCCTGGAGGGGGGTCAACAGTGGTCCAGCTCCGGACTAAATAAACGTATATAAGAGCCCAAATGTTCTGTAATCTGTAATCTGAAATTTCCAAAAAAATTAATGCTCAAATAATTTTATTCATCCAAATCCAGATTCTCAATAAAATTGATTTCTCCGTTCCTGACAGATGTTGTTGACACACGACCATCCTCTGAAACAGTCGAAGCTCGATGTACAATATCTCGATTTCTTCGCCCCGCCCACTTTCTTCTGAACGGTCACGTCTCCAGATGACTTTCTGAAGAGGTGACGGCGAGTGTTTGGAACACAGACGGCGTTGCGGCAGTATTCATCAGAAGTGCATGTGTAGCTGTCACGACACGAGCGTCCTTGAGCGGTGACTTCATAAGCCATGAATGAGAGAAGAACGACGAGAAAGATCTGAAAGTTTCTATGATTGTTTGATTAGCTTCTTCTGTACGGTAGAGTACATTTGGCAACTATTTGAATTTTATATCATTTTGTAGGACTTTTGAAGTTCTACATTGTCCAATTTAATTTTGCCAAAAATATTGAGCTTGAAGAAAGTTATGATTATAAGAAGACTATAGGCAAGTATGGCGCCACTTCCCGACCCTTCTGTTTAGCGCCGTCTGTACGGTAGAGTCGTTTTTGAAAATATTTGCGTTTTATATCACGTTGTAGTTCTTTTGAGGTTTTACAATTGCCAATTTATTTTAGCTAAAAATAATGAGTTTGAAGATAGTTATGACCAAAAAGGCAATAAGCTAGTACGGTAGAGAATTTTTTGCTAGTATGAGGATTTTATAACATTTTGTAGGATTTTTCAAGTTCTACATTTTCCAATTTAATTTTGCCGAAAATATTGAGTTTGAAGAGAGATAAGCTTAAAAGCAAGCCTGAAGGATTATCAACATGGGTACCCACTGGCCGGCGCATCATAACTTCCTTCAAACTCCACTATTTTGTAGAAACTACAAAATGAAATGTAGAAATAAAATAAATCTACAAAACGACACCTGATTCAACTATATTCGAATACCAAGTTTTTAACCAGCGGCTACCAGAGCCAGGTGGGCAGTTTTTCGTTTAACGATTTCCCCAGCTGTTTTACAGCTGCAATTGCTATTTAAAAATAACCGAGCTATGTATCATTTTGTAGATCTCATTGAGTTCTACATTTTCGTTTTTAGATCAAATTGAAATTCTAATTTAGAAGCGAGTTATGCCCCGAATACTGGAAGAGCCACGCACATGACGTCATCTTTCGGCGGCTTGCTAGCATTCCTCTTCACATTGTCAAAACATATGAAGAGGCGGGAACAACAGAAAAATTCGAAAGAAGAGAGATTTTAGAGAAATCAGAGAAAATCAAAACATAGACAGACAAGTGCTAGGTTACTTGGTAACATATGCGCGATATGTCTGCGTTTCCCAGAAATTGTCATTTATTCCTTTTTCCATGCTTTTTGGGACATGAGACCTTATAGATCATGTTTTTCAAAATTTTTTCAAATTGGCGCCAAATTCAAAAATTCTAATATCATATTTTAAAAGACGATACTGTATGCGTCTTTAGAGAACTGAAATTTTTATGAAAATTAGTAAAAAATATGCCTTTGAATTCAACAAAAAAAATGCGGTTCGAAAAGTCCGGAAATTTTCAGAAAGTTTATTTTCCGAAATTTTGAAATTGCCGCCAAACTTGGATTATTTGAATTCCTTTGAGTTACTCTATTCGAAACGCTTCAATGATACTTCTCAATATATAATCCTAATCTTCTTGCTCATTATCAGCTTTATCTACATATAATTCCCCAGACTACACATGTTTACTTTTAATCTTCTTTTGCTTTCCTTTTTTTCTCGTTTTTATTGATCCAACATTTTTTCGAAAAAGTTGGAAAATGAGTGTCATTCTTTGGCTGAATTAGGACCAAAATTTTTGAAAACCAAATTCTCCAATAATGCCGCGTAGCTCAGGATTTTAAGCTCTTATAACTTTTTTAGTTTTCAAGCTAGCTTCTTGATTTTTGTACCATTTGAAAGAGCGGGAAATTTTAAACCAGAAAAATATTCTTTGATTTTTAAAATAGCAACTGTATAGCTTAATATTTAAACCCCTATAACTTTGTTAGTTTTCAAGCTAGCCTTTTGGTTTTAGTATCATTCGAAAGAGCAGAAATTTCTAAAAATGTAAACATGTAACCGCATAGCTCAGTTTTTAAGTGTCTATAACTTGCTTAGTTCTTAACATGCCTGGCTAATTTTAATTCCATTCGAAAGAGCGGAAAATTCTTAATCAGAAAAATGTAAAAACCTTACCAATTGAACCTTCATTTTTGCTTCAGAATCCGAGTATTTCTCTAATAGGACTGAAGAAGGAATACTGTGGTTTCAGAGGGAATTTTAGTTTCCTTTTATAGTCTCCCAGAAAGGTATAAATTAAAGAAATTGGGAAAAGTGGGAGAGATGCTGAAAAACCAAAAAAAGGGAGAGAGGGCATGAACAAAATGGAAATCTGAAAAATGATCAAAAATCGGAAAGTGGAGATCAGAAAATCAGAAAATTTTAGAGAAATACAATTTTTTGAATTTTGGTTAGAAAAATATAAAAATAGAGAATTTGAAGCAAAAATTGCAAAAATTCTGAAAAATCAAGAATGAGAGTTGTTTTTTTTGTGAAAAATTTGGGATTCTGAAATTCCTAGATCCGCAGATTCTGAAATTTCTTACAATTAGTTTTTTTCAAAGGTTCTTAGGATTTTGGGATTCTTCGATTTTTAGATACTCGCTCAGATTCTGGAAATTTCGAAATTCCAAATTACTGAAATTCTGAAATTAGAAAAACGAAGTTCTAACATTCTGAAATTCTGAAAATTCTTAAAAATCTGAAAAATTGGAAATTTTGAAATTAAAAAATGTTCGATTTCCAAATCCTCAAATTCTCAGATTCTGGAAATCAGATATTCAAAAATTCTAATTTTCTGTAATGCTGAAATTTAAAAATTCTGAATTTTGTAATTCCGCATTTCTTAAAATCTGAAGGTCTGAGATTCTTAGGATTCTCTAATTTTCCTCCAATTTCCTAGATTTTTTTCTAGAAAATTGCCTCAAATTATTTTCTTTTATTGGTTCGTATTGGAGCACTTTTTTTTTATGGCCCTAGTTTATTGTAGTATACCCCCATTTTCCCTATTTTTGTGTCTTCTGCTTTCCTTGAAGATTTTCTGACTCCCAAAGAGTCAATTTTCCAGATTTTTGGAATAGAAAATTTCCATTATTTATCCATAGCTAGGCGGTTAGCAATTGAGATTTATAGCTACATTTGCCATGCGGTTCCTCAGCTACGCGGTTGTCCAGATGCTCAACTCTGTAGCTACGCGGTTAGGACCATTATGTACATTTCCCATTCGGCTTTTAAGCCACGTCTTCTAAGCTAAGCGCGCTTTAATGAACTCTAAGCGCCGCCCACTCTCGGAAGCTCTTTTCCCCAAAAAATCTCATTCAAATGAGCTGAAAAAAGAAGAAGGGAGAACCAAAGTGAGAAATTTTCATCAATCACGGTACGCCATCTTCATTCTCTCCTCTTTTTTTTCACAAGATTTCATCTCTTGGAGCTCACGGAGCACTTTTTCCCCTTTTTTATACACTATTTCGCAATAAAAATTGAAAGAAAGTATTCGATTTTTGAAATTTCAGAGAATTTTGAAGATTCGAAACTTTGGTGATTCAGAGTTAGTTATTCAGAAATTCAGAAATTCAGAAATCAGAAATTCAGAAATTTTGAAATTCAGAAATTCAGAAATTCAGAAATTCAGAAATTCAGAAATTCAGAAATTCAGAAATTTCGAAATTCAGAAATTCAGAAATTAAGAAATTCAGAAATTCAGAAATTTGGAAATTCAGAAATTCAATAATTCAGAAATTTTGAAATTCAGAAACTCAGAAATTCAGAAATTCAGAAATTCAGAAATTCAGAAATTCAGAAATTCAGAAATTCAGAAATTCAGAAATTCAGAAATTCAGAAATTCAGAAATTCAGAAATTCAGAAATTCAGAAATTCAGAAATTCAGAAATTCAGAAATTCAGAAATTCAGAAATTCAGAAATTCAGAAATTCAGAAATTCAGAAATTCAGAAATTCAGAAATTCAGAAATTCAGAAATTCAGAAATTCGGAAATTCAGAAATTCAGAAATTCAGAAATTCAGAAATTCAGGAATTC